TTATAATGATTACTTGAAGAATACAATATTTAATTTTACTCTAAGAAAATTATAATCTTTTATTTGAAAAATATGTTATTTTCTATCCAACATTTTTTCTTTTCCATTCAAGAAAATTATTCTTAAATAATAAGAATATTTTTTCTTGGTTGAACTATATAAAATGATTTCATTCAAGCCAGTTTTCTTTGTTTAAAGCAATATAATCTCATTTCAAGATTTTCATGTTAAAAATAAAGATATTTTAAAAATAAGAATATCTTTTTTTTCCGTGTATTAACAGATTGTATATCTTTACTACTTGTAAAGTACTCGTAAACACGGACATTTTAGAGACATCTCTGATGAAATATGTGGACTAGATTTCAGTAGATTATTCGACTTTGCAATATTTTGTTGAATAATACAAGCGAGATAGAAAAGTTTTTATTTTTTAAAATCAATATTTTTTTAAATTTAATTTTCAAACATAATTTATCGACTTGATAAGCTAATAAATACCGACAAAACATTTTGTTGAACCAATTAATAAGGATTTTATTACAGAATACTCACTGAATGTTTCCGGATTTAATTTCGTTGTAGTATCCCAACACGCGATGCCGTTTCTGTTCACTTGAGCAAAATAATTGATACACGTTTCCGGATCAATGACGGAAGATGGTCCTTGAGTCAGCGGTCCCTTGGTACCAGCGATGTGAAAATTATGATAGGTATCTGACTTTTTTAATGTATTATCCTGCAGAACGCTTGTAGACACGCTAAATTCCGTGATACCGGACATAGCGTGGAAATACAGTGTTCTATATCCATCGTTATCAATTGGCGACAGCGACATTCCAAAAACACCGTCAGTCCATTGGAAGTTGTAGCCGCTGATATTATAATCACCTGCCAATGATTATAATTTTAATAATAAAACATTCGTGAAATAATAAGAATTAAATAATTAATAATAAAATAGAAATTTAATTAAATGAAATTAAATTATATAAAAATTAATTTAATGCATTATATTAATTTTATTTAATGCACAAATAAAACTTGTAAATTAGATTTTTTTAAATTATATTTTAATGGAAAGAATTTAATTTACTAATTGTGTAAAAATGTAGTGGTATAAAACGCAATATATATATGAATAGAACAAACAAGAAAAGCAGAATCAGAGAATTGTTATTTCTATTTCTATTTTTGTGACGTATTACCATGCAGTGGATCGAAATGGAAGAAGTTGTGATTAATCCGCCAGGAATCATTTCTTTCCAAACTGAACACCACTATGCCATACTCGGTCAAGTCACTCATATATGCGTACGCTTTGTCACATTGTCCAGGTGCAACATCGACCACAAGATCGGCGATGAAACTTTCCGTTTTTACGTCTTTATCTTTCAAAGGGTATCGTAGAATAATCTGCAACACACAAATATGTGCACTCATATTATAAATATGCAATTCTGCGATTTTAATGCACGAATCAGATAACTTGAAAATCTTTCAATATTTTCTAGAATTAACGTTAACCGCATAGATCAATAACAGTCGTTGCGAAGTCTGATTAAAGTCCGAATCATTTAGATTAATAGATAAATTATGACAGTGCAGCAAGAAAATAGTGTATACGAAATAATACCTTATTCGTTTTTAAGTCGATTACAATGAGTCTCATCGGTTGCACGACTTTTGTATCTCCCAAAATATCGTTTACTCCCGTGTCGAGACCCCACAAACGATCGCAAGCATCGACTCTGGCGCGAAAAATGCTCACAAGGCCATCGGACGAATGAATGTTATTTGCCTCAAGATCAGGATACGGCATAAAAACTGGACTCTCTAAATGAATCAAATGATCGAAAGTAAGATATCTCTTTGTTACAAAACAAATGTATTTCAGATATTTCTTATGTTTCTTTTTTTACTAAGTTTACGTTCGACATTTTAGATATATCTGTACATATTAAACACTTTGTTTATTTTTATTATTAATTTACTTACGCGTATCATCTTCCGTTGAAAGAGTATTTAAAGTCGCCAGAACACCATTTTTCCACCGCGGTATTGTAACGAACACTTTTTTATGCCAAATGGCCAAACCTAATGGCATATTATTCTCCGGGACGAAATCGCCGGAAGCTATGTACTCGTTTCGGATGGTATCATTTGGAAGTTTAAAATCGACCTGCTTCCACGAGAAAACGGTACTAAAGGTGTGGCCAGTTGCCGCGGCCAAACAAGCCAAGAATGATAAGTAGAACATATCTGTAAAAAATCAATTCCCATACGAGATTGTTACAAAAACTGTTATATAAAAATTAGTACATATTATATACAGTAAAATAAAACCATTATCACAAAAAACAATAAATAATTAATAAGAACATAAAATATAATTACAAAATGTACAACAAAAATAAGCTTTTTTACAATGCGAAGTACGACTATGAATTCTTACTAATTCCGACACAAGATTAAATGTTGAATGTCGCGTCCGTAATCATCGTAATCATAATGCAATCGTAAATGACAACCATTCTTAGAAACGTTAGATGCAAAGCTAATTATTCACACTCGATGGAGAATTTAACTTTTATCACAAGACAACACTATTTATAAGACAAAGATGAACACGATAATTTCAATAATGATTTATTGGAAAAAATAGAAAATGATGTTACGTATAGTTATATATATATATATATATATATATATTTTTTAATTTTTATAACAATATAATTATTGTCATATGTACTTGCAGCGAAAGAAATTAAAAATTACAGCATAATTGGAACAATAGCAAATATTAATTATATCGGTTTTTAAGGAAAGCCATTTTTATTATTATAACAATATTTGTTGAAAATTTTTATATATTTTTGTAAAATTTTCTGGACACGAGGAGGTTTCGCTTGCATTTTTAAAACTAATCTTCTTGAGTTTTCAGCGTTTCTTACTTTCCGCTTGAATTGCCAAGTTTTTAGAACATTTTATGGATTTTTCTGTTAATTGTAACTCTGGTATATCACATACACATTGAAAGACATTATTTGTTCAATTTTAGATTACTACAAATTTTAAAATTGGAACAAACACGCAAAAAAGTAACTATTAAAAACAAGTGAATTTAAACAAATTATTAACTTTAATAAAGTATAAAAAAAGTTCTTAATATAATGATACATCTTTGTGTTTGCATATTGCATAATGAGATACTAAAGACTTTTCCTGTTTTATCCATTCAGATTTTATATACATCATTTAAATCGACTAATGATTCTGGGAGATTTCTAATAGATGCGGTATATTACATAATTTTGACATAAAAGAGATAACCTTGACTAAAACCGATATTTTATGAATAGTATGATTAACGGCCGTAACGAAAGCGTAAAGTGATGCGGATGTAAATCGATTTAACTCGAAAATGATCAAGAATGGAAAAAAAGACAAGCGTGGCAATAAAATTGTTATAAGTTGCTTAATAAACATTCTTACTTGTTCAATTGACTAATAAAATTTATTTTATTATTCTATCAAATAACAAACAACGTTTGTGTGGGTTTTTGAAAAGTTTACTATTAGGAAAATCGATTGAATTTTGTTGGTTATCTTACATTAAATTGTCTTACATTACTTTAATTGTTACAACAAAATTTGTCAAATTTTTTAACGGTAATACAGAATTTTTCATCAATTGTTTTATTTCTACTTTATAATGATAAATTAATGTATTGTAAGACTTTTGATTAAATGTACTATTGATTAATTCTGAACATGCAATGTCAATGTCAAAGACATAAGATATCAATATAAATGTAGAATGCGCCTTCGGCAAAATATTTAAATCAAATCCGTAGCTAAAAACTCCAGAATCCTGTTTTGTAACAGAACAGGATTTACAAGTTCTTGGTCTAATGCCTTAGCACACAATGTGTATTTATAAAACTGTTGGACGAATCGTTTTTAAAGATTGAAAGGTTTTTTCGAATTAAATGTTAGATGCTGATAAATAATGAAATTTAATCTTTTATTTAATGTTAAATACATTGTATTAAAAATTATATTAAAATTGCAATATTGGTTATAAACATGAAAGAATATTATTAAATATAGTTACGCAAGTATAAATTTATATTACAGACACAATTGCTAACATAAAAATAAACTTGATAATTTTCGGCATTATAAATATTTATTTTCTAATCAAATAAAAATTAGTTTTTTTACTAAATAAAAATCAATGTGATGTTCGAATTTTATATTATTAAACCATTAAATTTAAGTTGCTCCACATTTATAGAAAAACAAGATACTTTAAATAATTGATGCACAAAGTACTCACCGCTTGAACTGGTAAACCGGTCTTCTCTGCCAGGATACAAGGTGGAATGATGTATAGTACTGCGTGTCACCAGCTTTTATACACGATACTCCCTTCCAACAGCAAGTGTCTAATAGTAAGTCTATTGAAAAAAATACAAATGGCAACCAAATGCTGGATAAAATACCGAATAAAAATACATGTGGTATCAATAATTAAAAAGTTTTTTTTTTGTACAGCTTAGTAACTTTTAACAAATTACTTTAATTTTTACTTTAATATAGTTTTTGAACCAATACTCAATAACAATCTTTATTTTAAAGTGTAAAATTTGAAACATAAAGAACAGAATATACGTACGTTAATAGTATGTCACGCAATCTTGTAACATTTAATATTTTATAGCATTAAATATATTTGAAATAATTTTGCAGCGTAATTTTATTTTCTCCGCAGCATATGGCGTACGTGATGAATGAACAATCATCTTATCATTGGCAAAAGTAGTTTAGGCGTTACATAGCCGCGGCGGAGAAGGAAATTCACTTCCTTCCGCAAAACGTCGCGAGTTCGCGAATTAAACATTTTTCTTGCTTTGCAATGCAGTAAATTAAGTTTGATCCCTTCCAAGGGTACACCTTGTCGCGGTGGAAGGGCTCAGTACCTGATAGGTTTATTCTGAAGGGGAAGCTAACGTATCCATTCGCGTGTTATTAACATTTAAAGTATTGTTGAAAGTGTCGCGCAGTCGTTGTGGCGCCGCTATAAAATTCGTGTCGAAAGTATCGTGCAAAGGTGTCGCGCGTTTGTTGTTTTTTAATTAGTACACAATCGTAATTAACCGTGTGTCTTCGCGAAAGATCGTCGTGTCGGAAGAAGTACCGTGCTGCGTAAATTATTTCCGCGAGTGAAAATGTAAGCACCGTGAAGAAGCAATCACCAATGGACCATTCTGAGAGGAGGAGGAAACTCAGAGAGTGTCCGGCATCGGCGGAACAATCGTGAGTTGCATAATTTACTCTTTCTTAATTCATTAGTTATTTTTTTGTTTATTTTTAGAATGACATGATTTATTATATAATACTTTTATGAAATATTTTTCTAAAAAAGAAAAATTTCAATGCACGATGTATCGGATTGTGTAATAAGTAATTTCAGAATTTCCAATAGAAAACTTAATGAAATGAATCTAAAATAACTTATTACACAACGCAATATTATATTTCTTTCATGTAATATTTAAAATATTAATTATTTTCAACGATGCTATAATTTTGATATATTTGTGTAATATAATACAAATTAGTATTTCCACTCTTTTGAGTTAAAATATTTTATATTTTATTTTTATTAGAATTAATTATATGTATTATAGAAAACTTTTAATAGTGTAAATGGAGATCGAAAACTGGAAAATAATAAGGATGGCACTGTCGGAGAGGATAATGTGTCGAATAAAACGTCGTATGAAACGATCTGCCCTCAGTCTGTCCTGTACGAGGTGTCGCCATACGCATGATAAGGGTATAATAAACGACTTCGACGCTACTTTGTTTTTGATGTGTTTATTGCCCCCTTATTATTCGCTCGGTTTCGCGACACTTGAACGGAGTAGATTGTTCCGTATAAGCGTGTTATCTTCTCCAATAATACTTTTCTTATTATTTCCCGTACTGTTCAGTTTTATCCTTTCAGTCGTTATTTATTACGAATGCGCAGAGTGTCGAACGTATAATCCATGCGATATTATTCCGTGCAAGTTTTACTTTTGTCTTAATATGACAAAGTACGCATTGGTAGTGCCGTTTAAAATATTGTGTGATTTTTGTATTCGTGCCCGCGAACGCGAGTGAATCCTTTAAAGAACTGTAAGGAGGACTGACGATGCAAAGAGGAGGAGGCGGAGGCGCAGGAAGGGCGGTGGAGCAACTTTACAGTAAATAATCATTTATTTATTATCTATTATTTGCAAAATATTGAAAATAAAATAGCAAATATCAAATAGCATATTGCAAATAAAATATTGCACATAAAATATTAAATAATGTAAAATTCTACGCACAATAGAGAAAATATTAAAAATAAGAATAAATATTAAATATTAGGAAGCGCAATTTGGAATTATTTTACTTTAAACAAGGGAACGGAATGGATTAATTATTTCTAATTCTTATTTCCTAATTCATGATATGTTAATCTATTTCATTTTCTTGTTTTTGAAATGAAATTATATTCTTACTTTTATAAATATATATAAATATAAATATAAATATTTAATATTTATTCTTATTCTCAATATTTTCTCTATTGTGCGTTAAGCCTAAAGGCATAGAAGCAGATAGAAAATTTAAAACATTTAGTAAAGAATTTGCAATTTTTATTATTTTTAGTTATTAGATATAAATACATTTTTTATTAGAAATTTGCGTGAAAGAGATGAGTTAAAGATTAATGTGCGTAATAATTATTTTAAACTGCTATAATTTGGATGTATCTTGTTAAAATGTTACAGATTATCGACTTCTGAACAACTCCGCTGCTGCGCATCGTGTCGGTAAGTCAATCCAATGTTTAGTTTTAATATCATTAACTGATTAGATTTAAAAAAATATAAAAGGTGTCTCAGACGTATCATATTATCAGTTAATAGCAAATTTCTGAAGTTTCTCATATGGTAAGAATATAAAAATTAATATGCGACGTGCTTGAACGCATGAATTTTTGATAATCTGATTGATCAATTTTAAATATTTTGCATTTAAAAACTACTGTAGTTTTGATATTTGGGTATAAAAATTTTTATTTCTAAATAAACTCAAGAATCTACTATTAACGGGTAATACGATTAATCTGTAAACATTCTGTATATTATATTTTATATACTGCATCCATTTTTTAATGGAAACTATATGTTGTGTGTGTATATTATATTTAAATGTATATTTGAGACATTTCTTCTGATTTACACTTTGTGGATTTAGTAAGAACATATGTATGTCAAACAACAGTGTTTACCGGTAGTACGAAAGGCAGATGTGGCTATGTAGTTCCAATTCTAAAATGGATTCAGATAGCGGTACTAAACAGCGATTAATAAACGTAAATTATTGTTTTTTCTACTGACGTTATTATGAGAAGACAATGATAAATTCAAACAAATAGAGCAATTCAAGCAAATAGAAAGATTCTAAATAATTAAAGTAAATTTTTTATAGAATAATTATTATTAAAATTAAGTCATTAATATTTGAGCAATTGCCTAATTTTTCACGATGCAAATAGATAAACTTACGCAAATAAAAATTATACATATTATTATTAACATAATTTTATTACGTTAACAATATAATTGGCAAAGTTGAGAAACACATGTCACACTATTGACAAAGATGATTATTCTTTTCTCCTTTATCGTTAATCGTGATTATGTCATTTCACAATCTATATTGTCAGAAGATTATTTTTAATTCTCAGACCAAAAGATCATAGATATAATAACTATCACGTAACAATCGTAAATTATTTGCTATTTGCTTACTTACGCAACTGGGATCGAGGAATTATCTCGCGTCCTCAATTAAAAGTAAGCAGTTTTAATAATTATGCAGAAAAAAAAGTTTGAAAAATAAATTTCGCGCAATGTTCACTGTGTATGAAACAATAAAATATCAATTTTTGCATAAAAATTTATATTTATATTTGTAATATATATTACAATAAATTATATAATACATTAAAGCACTAAATATTTAAATTTTTCAAAAATTGTTTGGAAGAAATAAAGTTACGAACAAAAGTTAGTATTTTTGGAAAAGCTTATATAAGGTGTATTCTAATATATGACAATTATATTTTTTATTATATATATTCATATTTATAACATATATTGCATGCGAAGAAATAGAAACCGTCTGAATAGATATTAGATGTTCACACGATGTTACGATCACAAAGATGAAAAAAAAATAACGGATATTATTGAGTATTGAGTATTTAATGAATAAAAAGATGTTCTTATAAAAGAAAATTTCTATTTATACACATATACAGCCGATCAAATCTTACAGAACATTTACGTATATTTATTATTTGGCAGTATAAAAAGCTCAGTTAATACTTTCGAAACGTGTTTGTGAATTTTTCAAAAAATCTTTCATCATAAAATATGTTAAAAATACTCTTCATTACTTATACTTTTGAACTATAATATAAAGAATATGAATCACAAATGTAAATGAGATGAGTAGCTATTGCGTTAATATTGCCAAAGTAATTTAATAAATAAAAATTGCTAAATATGCACACGCCTGATTGTAGAACGTGAAAAACTTGCTTTCAATTAGCATTCAACTTGCATTAAATTTGCTAATATTTCGGCTTGGAAATATTTAAAATTATGGTGACCAGTTTAGAATGCCGCTTCTGTTTCGATATCTCCATTGTTTTTTTTTCAATTTGCACTTCCTGGATATAAAAAAGCAAATGTTTTATCGTATATTGAAATTATATCTAATATAAATTGCTTCTTCTTGGCATTATATACATCAGCATATTATGTTATTTACCTATAATTTACACATCAAAAACATAAAAAGCGATATATATACAATTCTGTCAAAGAAATTGATAATAGTTTATGAAAAAATACCATATATTTGCATAAAAAGAATATTACTTACTTTCCAAACTCTTCGCCATCTTGAAGCGTTTCCGGTAATGTACATCCGGCAGTTTCTGGTAACAATAAGCACAATGCCGCTCCAATTAATGGTAAAATACCGAATATAATGGGTGGTAGCCACGCTTCAATATAATTCTGAAATAATATCCGCAATTGATAATCTAGGGAATTATGAACAGGCCGCGACTTGATTTAGCACAAATTTAGTCAAATATTTAAATATGTATGTATAACAGACAAAAATCAAAGTAGTTTTGCATATTTTGTTCATATATACAATCAATTTTAAAGTAAATTTACCAATGAGACTACAAAGGGTGCTAGAATAGAGCCTAGTCTGGCGCACATGCTGCTCGTGCCAACTCCGATGTTCCTTACGACTGTAGGAAATAGTTCGCCGGAGAAAAGGTAGGCTGTTGTAAACGACACCGACATGCCGACAATACCGAGGCATGCCAGCACCAATCTTAACCAAGCCATATCTATTAGAATAAATATATGAATTAATACATAAATTTGGAAATTATCGCTTATTATTTAGTAAGAAAGTCAGGCAACTTTTTTACCATCTGAAACGATTATTAAAAATAGACAAGCCACGCCGGCTATAGAATTGCTGCAGATCAGAGTGATCCGTCGGCCTAATTTAGTCATCGCCCACCACGCGACAAAGTTTCCGGGAATCTGCATTGCACCGGACACCGCGAAGTTGATGAAAATATCGCCACCGACTTGGCCGATGTATTGTGACATGCCGAACAGACCCATTCCACAAACGATCCAGTTAAAGAAAATTGAGAGAGATTTTGTTCGCATGTTCGGTGTGCGAAACAGGTCCAAAAACGAGGCTTTGTGATCCAACGCGGATTTCTTAGAATTCTAAAATGTAAAGAAATATGCATTACAAGAATTTAGCGCTTTTTAAACCGTGCAATAGTTTTTGTGAATTATAAACTAAATTCGAAAAAATTACGAAAATCATATTCATATGTTTGAATTGATTTTTCAAGATATTTTGGTACACAAAAAATTACTCTTACTTGATGCAAACAATGCTTTCTGACTACTTCAGGAATATCCACATTCTCCACTTTATTAATATGGGTAGCTTTCTGTAGTATTTTACATGCTGCTCTTTGCCTTCCCATGGCCAGTAACCATCTGGGTGATTCAGGTACTATCCACCAGTAACTTAAAAGAATGATGGATGGAAGTGTGATGGCAATTTGCAGTTGTTGCCAATGTCGAAACCAGTATGCAAGTCCTGCTAACGACATGTGACCGAGACTGTACGGAATTTGATATAAAACAGTGATGGCGGCTCGCCATTGTGTACCCACGATTTCCATACCTGGAAAATATATTTATAATTAGAGAAAATCATTCTAATCGATTACGCTTTATCTCGGCGCAAATAAATCATGATTGTTAATTATTTTCACAACATACAAATACACATATATTACAATACATTAGACTTATGATTCAAAGTTCTAAGAATCAGATATTACCTTATTAATAAATTTGTTTAAATATTTAATTAGCATTTAAATTGATATTTTAAACATTCATTTTTTATATGAAGACAATTGCAAGATCGAAAGATTGATTACAAGCTTTTATTATTTATCTTTGCAGAAATGTCTTTCCTCATGTTTTGTAATAGTTTTTATACTTTTAAAAGCCGAGATACTTACAAATTACATAACTAGTGACCATTGTGCCTCCAGTGGCTAATGCACTTAATAATTTCATCACCAATAATGCTTGAAACCAAGGAACTACGGCGCATCCAATACCTGATAACAGTTGGAGAATAACTGATATCATCAACGGCATTTTCCTGCCATATCTGTAAGATATCCATGTACTTTTACTCCTTTGTGACCGTTTTACGCTTATGCGATTTAATCACTCGTTTAATAATATATGCACTTGCCTGTCTGCTAAACTGCCGAAGATTATGTTACCGAGAAGCACCCCGAACATAAGAATGGATTGCTGAATGTTTGCATAATGCGTGTGATCGCACACTAAATTCCACTGAAACGATAATAGCTCTAGAATAGCTGTCAGAACATTGATTAAATCAATACTAGATCTAAAAGCGCAACTAATGCATAGCGACAGAGCACTCAAATTATTAATTATATTATTAAGTAAAATCTAATACTTAGCATTTGATAGTTCTATTTGTCTTACAAAATACTTTTCAAAAAATTAAAGTTACAGTTACATAAAGAAATGTCATGAATCATGTATCAGTTGCATTTTATTTATAAACACGTCGGTTTCCAGTTCAAAACCAATAATGTTTGATCAATTCGTATAATTCTTTTTCACTTACTTGCGATATGATAGTCTCCGGAAATATTTTTCTATCGTACTCCCATTCCGTGCATTTTACCAGTGTGCCGTTTAGATTGACCGAGCATTGGTCCTTCGAGTCTACAATGGCAGGTTCCGTGCAATTGTAGTCTTGATGAGCCGCCATAAAAACGATCGCTAATTGGTGCCATGCTACCGGAAATTTAATTAGAGAAATTGCCAAGCAAACAACAATTTGCCACTTGCCGAGGTTACCGATCGTGATTTGCACGGCATCGACACTTGCGCCAGAATCGACGTGATCGTCCTTGCCATTGGAAACTTGCTTACCATTCACGTCCGCTACAATTGAAAGAAAATAATATTCAAATATATTTTTGATGTTTTACAATCACGTTCTTCGATATTTCATATGAAATTAAAATTGAATTTTATAGTCTGTAATATTTATTGATGTATTTACTATAAATATTCTTTACTCGGAATCTCCTGAAAAATTACCATTTTTTTCTGTTAGAAAACAATCTGTTTTCTATGTAAATGCTTGTATGGTACTAAAGAAAGCGATAGAATCATAAAACATTTGTTCAAACTTTCTCTGTTAATAAAATAGTTCGTCATGAAAGACATTTGCATCGGTAATACATTTACCGAGTATATACCTGTTCACACAAGCTTTTATTTGTACAACTGGTAATTTATGAGCGTCGACATATAATGGTTTCTCGACAATGATAACACGCACGAGAAATTGTGTAAAAACAATTGCGCACACGTACGAAGTCTAGCGGGGACTGAAATAAAGAGTCAATTAGTGAGAAAAACAACTTATGATTTTCCTCCTTTAATACCACAGAATCGAAATTAAATCATCAATCCGTGATTACATTTGTCAGGTATAACTACGTAATAAAAGATTTAACCTCGCCTGCTCGTGACAAATGGCTCATAAATATGCATACATGAAACAATGCTCGTACAAATAATTCTGAGTAAGCTTCAAATAATTTCCTTAATGTAATCAAATCGACCTGTTATACAAGATGCGACAAAAACATAGAAATTGAAATCAATAAATTAGAATCGTCTAAGAATTAATAAACATTCGAAAAGCCCTTGTCTTTAAAATTATCAAACAATTTTTATATATAAATGATTTAATTTCTTCTCTTTTTTGTATCCCACGAATAGAATACGTATGAACGTTTAGTTATGCAGATGGAAATTTTGTTAAAATTAATTATACAGTCAAGTAATCATGAAATCTGCAACGAGCGATATAGGCATTGCTGATAATTGTTTGATAACACATGTGCGCGATAGGACATATATATGTAGTAAATGTACATACTATGTACAGAGCGGTAAACGACGACCAAACCAGTTCGTAGAAAAAAAAACGTTAGACAGTGCATGTGAACCATAAAATGTATGTTAACCTCGAGACATCAAAAAGACCTTCGATCTCGAACGTTCCAACTTATCGGCATCCTTCTTCGGTGACTTGAAAGGTCAGTCTTGCCTTTCAAGCAGCCCTGTCTCTCAATACGGATTCGAAACTTCTACCGTTGTTATGCACTAGTTGTCAAAATAAGAGCGCATCATATTCATAGGGCTAATTTTTCTATCGAATTTTGAGTCGATTTTTATTTCACAAAAACAAAAAGATTACCTCTATCGTAACTTTCGTAAGTTTTATATAATTGCAATCCTTGTGTATACTTGCGGTTGAAAACTCTTACTTAAAATTGCATCGATGTCCACATGAAATTAACTAAACAATATGGTTTTGTTATCTACTTGTTTCCTTGAGTTTCTCAAAGTAATCAAATTCAGTAGTAAAATTCAGTTTATGTAATACGCACATAAATTTAACATCTGTTCTTGGGCTTGTTAAATTTTCACGAGATTTCTTAATGTTTTATTTAGTAACGTACCATATTCGTTGGTTTTCGTATCCTTCATATCACGGCCTGCTTCCACTTTCCGTTAAGTTAATCTTTTCAATACTCGGATATCTGTAACATGGATGATAAAAGATGTAAATATGCCAATGACAAGTTAAAGATACTGATCGTTACTGACTATATATTTCATTAATCATTATTAATTATTTATTAGATGAACAAGACAATGCGTGCCAGTTCGTATTAATCGTTATTAAAAAATAGAATTTTCTTATTTTTCTAACCTTTTCTTTTCTTTCCTCCTTTCACTTCTACTGTTTTTCTCCTACCTCTTTTACTTATAATGTAGCAAGTAAAATGTTTTTCGCAATAGCGGACATTCCTGAACCCGTAACACAACAAGGCTAATGGCACCTGACGCGGCGATGAATTCGCGGCATTACATGACAACAAACAGCCAATTGTAATTAACTAGAACAACCATTGATCATTGACAACTGACCTATACAAATTGGTTTAAACTAGATTAAAACCAGACATCTTATACGTATTTGTTTCGCTATCAGAGGAGAGTTTGATGTTCTTGATATATCGCAGTCTTTTCTTTTTTTAATATTGCTTATTTGTTATTTCTTCTAATACCGTCTTGAAAAAATTTTGTATTTCAAAGAGTAAATAAAAAATAAAAAATATTAGCTGTCTCTTGTAGACTAATTTATTAAATAATTCTTTAAGAAAATAAAATTAAAAATGTAGCACTAACATCCTACGACGGCTCTCGATGCCATTCTATTATATTTGTTAAAAAATATTAGTTTTACAATAGCAATTTAAAAATTTCAGAGAAAAATTTCGAACAAAATACTCAAACTTAAATAAGCACATCTGAAATATGTTAACTGATTATAATTGCAATGAAGTATTGAACGATCTATTTATAATAAATTACATTTATTCTTGGAAAAGAGAGGATCTCGAGTCAAAGCAGGATTTCAGTTGCTTCAATAATCTTCTTTATTCAAATGTTTCAGTCGAGCTTTTGATCATCTTCAATATACAGAATCGTAGTAGTTTATATTGTTAAATTAAATTAAGAGGTTAAATGTATAAATTTTTTAAAAAACATTTTTGTCTTGCCCTATTTTTACAATATAAGACAATTTTAAAACATGCCTGATAAACTGATGTAATTACGCATAATCCATGTAAGGTACAATATTATTTATATTATATTATAAGGGGGGTGATTTAATATATAAATACAATATATTTATATATTAAATTATATTTAATCAATGGACAAAATAATATTCAATCTACTAAGTTTCATTTTCTTTGACTTTTTTTTATATTTTGATATAGCAATCGATTTTATGTACAATTTGTACAATTAGAAAGCGAGTTTTTAGTATATCATCACTTTTATTCAGATATTAAATAAAGTTTTAGCATCCGACATCGGGATGAATAAATTTTGTTCATCTAGCTCTTAATATATAATCAAGAGTGATTTATGATATCTTGTGTTATGACATTCGATAATTAATTTTGTGTTTACAATATCTTGCAAAAATAAGCCTTGAGATATTGCTGTAAATGACAATATTTATGCCATGATGTTTATTAACATCATGTCAAAATGTTGGGACGTTGACCCAAACAGAGAGAAAGGAAACAACGAGAAGGAAGTGAACGCCGTTACGAAGGGCACAGAAATATGCAGGCGCACTTAATAACGCCTCTCGCAGACGCAGCTTTTCTTCACTGTTATTACCGCGTTATTACTGTTATCATGCCTGCTGCGGCCTAATTACGATTGGGGCGCGGAAACCGCAAGTGGCGTCGACGCGCAGTCACACCTGGCAATTTAAGCAGATTTTTGCAGACGATCTCAATCCTTACATATGCACTTTGTGTTGCAGTTTTAAGGAAGTTGTTTCGAAACGTATTGAATTACAAACAATTAAATAAAAACTTATGAATCAGCTTTTGAATTGAAGAGGCAGATAAACAATTCAAAATCATAATCTTTTTTTAATTTTAAGTGAACTTTAACAGAATTTTAATTTATGGTTTAGCCATATAAAAATTGAAAAAGAAATTTTTAATTATGATAAATGTTATCATTTTTTTCTGACGCACCTTTTCGCGTGGTAGGAAAATCGATATTAATTATGTCAAAGAACTTGTTATTAAAATTGACGTTCATAAAGCATTCCGTATTCATGCAATAAATTATAGAATTTTAGATTATTCAAACTTATCGAATAATCGTAATTAGATTGATGGAAAAATTTCGAGTCAACTCGCATTTTATAAGTTCCGCGTTAAAATGGATTAATCGCACGATAAGTGGTTACGATAGAAAGCATAAATTCATTCAAGAGTTAGTATTAACTGTGCATCAATTAATGAAAATCTATTAGACACGTGCTTACGTGAATGAAACTCGAATATCCGTATTGGCTTGAAAGATCGACAGACCGAACCCGCGCACTCGCATAACACCACGCACAAGTTAATGAAGTGGCAAATGCGTTTGCACTCGCGTATAGATCGTGTGAAACTGACGGCTCGAACGTAACGACTATCGCATACTCGAGACGTAAGTCGCACAAAATTCTTTCAAGCTGCTTGTTCTCCAATCGAAGAGGAGGGATGCCGGCGCCGAACGTCACGTTGAGACGCGGCGCCGCTATATAGAACTGCAGGAAAAACCTACCCGGGGTTTGCAACCTGCAATTTAATGCGCGAGATGACAGAAGTAAATCAATGCCATCTTCCAGGAATGAACTGGCCGTGAAGTTCATCCTAGAATACTAATTACGCGTTTGCGCTAGTTGCATTTTTTATACTTTGCAGTTGTTTTTTTTTTATGTTTTTCCTTAAAATTTTGAATATGTATACCGAATATGTTACCGTATACGTTATGCCATTTTAAATATAAAAGTATCTGCAAGAAATAAAATTGAAATAAATTCAACAGTTACAGTTGAAATTTATTCGGTACAAAAAAGTGATAAATTTTGTTATCAATGTTATATTATCTAACAAAATAAAAGATAAATTTTGCGTCGTTAAGTCATCTTTGTGTGTGTGTGGGGGGTGGGGGGGGTAGTATATATATATATATATATATATATATTATTATTATATATATTATAATTTGATTTCTCTCACATAAGCGTATTAAAATTTCCTAATAAATGTTTGAAAGAACATGCAGAGTATAGTAAATTTAATGATTAATATTCAGTAGAGTGTAGTATTTCAAAGCGCTTTGCACGTGTTAGATAATCGTTTAATGGTAATTGTGTGCACTAATCATTTATATTGGCACTGCATGAAGTAATACATCAATTAGTACCATTTTAAATTTTTCTTCAATGGAATATTTTGCTACGTCGCTGATAAGAACGACGCACCGTTGAGCGGCATTCTAATGTCGAAGAACCGTCACTCAAGCTGCAATTTACATACCTCGCAAAACGGTCGGTTGCTTTCGATATTGTGTGTACTCTTATGTTTAAAAGATTGAAACTGCCTTAAATATATCTGAGTGACTTGCAACCGTCATATGAAATGTTGAGAGCGAATTTTTTTTACATAAACTGAAACAAAAAAAATTTATATCGGGAAATTTGAAGGCTCCGATCGTTTTCGAGGTGTTCGATCAAAAATAAAGGCCCTCTCGCGAGTCACACTTTAGAGATGTAGAAAACTGATACAATTTTACTCCTCGTTTATAATTTCGAGTGAGCTTTAACGGATTTTTAATTTAGAGATTAATAAAAAGTAATTGAAAGCTAAAAATTGAAAACGCGGTTATAATCAAAGCAGTTTTTACCGCAAATCGTTAATAAAAAATTCAATTTCTTTTATTAACGATGTGCAGCGCAAACTACTTTGGCCGTAACTACGTTTTTATTTTTGCAAATAAATAATAATCTTTTTTGATGTTTTTAAAAATAAATTCCAATAAATACGAAATTTCAATGCTAAGTATACCTTTCCAAAAAAGAGAAAATCTTTTCGGAAAATACTGATCAGTTTTTTTTAATAAGTTTTTTTTCGATATGGAAAGCATAAAAAATTACATGGTTTTTTCCAATAAAAAAATTACGTGAATACGTGAATATTATTCTAAATGAAAGCACACAAAGTAAATACTTGATGAGAATATTTTAGAATCGAAGTGTACGTTTAATAAATAACATATATCTATACTTTTTAATATTTTGTTTTTAATTTTAATTACTACTGTGCTATTAGTTTTTTGAATAATAAAAATTATAAGTGAAATTTTTTGTTTACTTATTACAACTAATAATTGTAATTCTTCTTAAATTGTAAAGTTTGAAAGATGGACAGAGCTGAAATTAAATTCAGGTTTCATATATTTTGTAACAAAAATCGTACAAGACATCGTATCGTTGCTGTCAGTTTGTCAGTTTCACTGAATTAGCTAAAGCCGATTTTTGTGAACAGTTCTTGCATTATATACAAAATTTCTAATTAAACGTGCGGTTTTATAAACAAATGTCTCGATTTGTTCTACAAGTGTGCGATCGTTTATAATGTTGTACGTAATATTAATTATCAATTTTCTAATACGATATTTTTTCGAAAAATTTAACAAATTATAAAACCAAGATAAAGTTCAACAAGTTAATTTTTTTACGTATTATACGTACTGAATTTTGTCAAATATTTAATTATTTTTACATTTATAGAGGGATATGTTATTTAATCTTGAATTACACGTCAATATGATACGACCGGCAAATTAAACATGCAAAAGCTATGTAACACAGTCGTTTCCCCATTAACCTCAATTAACTTAGTCTTTTAAAGATATTAGCCATGTGCAGAACGTGTCGATGTGCGAGGCATAGACATTTCCATTTGCATTAAGTGGCTTAATTGTCACAAATTTGTTGACCACCGTACGCTAATCGGAGAAATGATTCGGTCAGTGTTCTTACAGCGTCTTGGTAGTATGATTTCTCAATTTTATTCTTAAAGTTTTATTTCCTAACATATTACTTATAATTGAAAAGTTATTGATGATCCTTAGTTTATCCAAGCATTTTGGCAACAATCTATTTTTTCTAATTATATAAATGCAAGAATGAGGCAAACGGTCAATTAAATGAGAATTACAAATTATGATATATATCTTTATACTAATAGCAGTTGAATTATCTTTTATCGCGACAAATGCTTGATGACCCCAAAGTTTCTGAACTCGTGTAACTAGGATACGAGTTTATACAATAATGCCCGAATTTAACTCGTTAGATATCTCCTAGAACTATGTGGTATAATATAAGCTTAATAATTTTTGTTTTATAACATTATATAACATATTATGTAACATATTATACGATACAATAAAATAAAGTTCGTATAACAGACAGCTTATTATTTAAAAAGGATAGAATTGATTAAAACACTTAAGGCTTAAAGTTTTTCTAAAGTTGAAGTGTTTTAAATTTTTCATAATTTTGAAAAAAGATAGTTTTACATAAATGTTTCTATTACAATTGTAATAATGCTCGTATCTTTGCGTTATTAATAAAATTTAATTATAATTTATAAATACAATATTTAGAATATTTAGAATTTTTTTTTCGAAATTATTATAAATCTGAGATTCTTAGAAAGTTTCTCGGAAAACTATATCAAACTAAATTAGATATTTATACGATAATAAAAATATATTAATTTGCCAAATCTTGATTTGCATATCGCAACTGATAACAAGTTTTACTTGTGATCACTGCTCAGAGTAGTTGCCACATGGTGGCGTAGAAATGTATCTTGTCCATAGTGCAGTCGGTTCATTTTACCTCTAAACGATAATGTGCGCCTAATATACTGTTGCTTGACTAGTATAAATCGATAAAATTTATTTACGATAGTATATTGACGCTTATAATATTTATTCTTAAACAAATTTTTAAGAAATTAATTTAATTTTTTAAACTTAAAAATTATACCAATGAAAACAATAATTCCAGATGCAATAATGCAAAAATTTTTTACGCAATTGATGATTTTATGTAAAACATAATCTAGCTGTGAAGTGCATGATATAATAATTTTGATAATTTTATTATAATTAAATATAGGTAAATTTAAGAAAGATATTTTTTCTATAATTTGATTAATAATAAAATTATTACAAAAAATAAATTTATAATCTATTATTTCGACTTTAAAAAATCATACGTGTATAATACAATACGCATATATATACATATTTTTTTTGTGTGATATAAAATATATGAGATTTATAAGGCACTCTTCAACCAAAAAACTACGCTAGTGATAATTTCTTCAAATCACTGACATTTCATCACTCACATTTAATTTTTATTTTTTATTATTACACTCACAATTTCGTTCTATTTTTTATCTTATGATATTGTTCACATGCTACAATATAATAACAAATATATTAAATATTTTCCATTACAAATCACTTTTATAAGGTGATAATAAATAAACCTTAAGTTTATATAGTAGAAGAAATGTTTAATGTCATTGAATTAATTTTGAAACTGTAATGGCATCCAGGAAGACCATGGATACATTGCAGGCATTTGCATATAATTACTACCAATACCTTCGAACTTGATAATCTCTACTCTCGAAATACCGCTGTGTACGCTTGTAAAATCAGTTGTGTTGTTATTAGACACATGAGATGTGTGTAGACGTTCACGAATTCGTAAATTGCTGATTACCGAAGGCTTCTGGTTACAAATACTGTAGTGATAAAAACGATCACCTGTAAAGAATTATTCATAAATATACTGTTTAATTTTATACATATCCGCTATAGTACTAAAAAAGCTATAGTACAAAAATTGTATAAAATTTTACATATTTTTAAATATTACATTGTTGGTATCAAAAAGTTGGTTTTTTCGGAACTGTTACAAGAGTGAAGAAAATTATTTTTTAAATATTTTTTATGGTTTATTAGATGTTTTTTTCTGAGAGATAGAATCCCGAATCTGTTGAAAAGAGTAAAAAAAGGACCTCTCACTTTTTTAAATAAGATAGTATATGAAGTTTTTTTTGTCATAGAATAAATTGAATAAATCCCGTATAATCTAAAAACAATATTGTTGTTACCGTGTGATCTCATATGATGATGCAAAGCGCCAAGTTTACAAAATCCTCTGTTACACACTGAACAGCGCAATGGCCAGTTACCAGTATGAGAATATCCGTGAGCTCTCAAATCACCGGGAGTTGGAAAAGATCGTCCGCATTCATCGCATTTATGTGGCTTCTCCTGCATTTTGAATAAAAAATACACATTATAATATTAGTATACATTTTTCGTTCAGAAATAATTTATATTCACAATTATTACATGAGTATTTAATAGCTTTTGGCTGTAAAAAAACTAAGTTTTAGATCGATTTATTTTGTATTAATCTATCATGCATTTCGAAGCTGTATTGATGCGCAATATTTAAAAAACTCATGGATAAGTTACCTTATAATGCGTCATGCGATGATAATACAAATTTGATGAAGCAGTAAAGCGTTTCCCACACATTGGGCATTCATGAGGGCGTTCACCAGTATGAATCCTAATATGAGTATTCAATGAACTGCTCGTGCTAAACATTTTGCCGCATATTGTGCAGCCGTGTGGTTTTTCGCCTGAAATTAATTTTGTTATATTAATCGTTTCCGAAAGTACAAAGAAAAATCCCAATTTTGAAACCAATCTTTTTACACAAATTTTTCATGGAGTTTTCAATTATTTTAAAAATATTGTCACAAATATTTACAAAAATACTATGATCCTTCGGTATCGGAAAGATTAAAAAAAAAGACGAATTCTTTACATTTTTCTCGCGAACTTACCTGTATGCGTTCGCAGATGTCTTTTTAAAAGAGATGGTCTGTCGAAACTTTTACCGCAAGCTTGACAGGGAAGACGCCGTTGAAATTTAAAAGTATTGACAGTATTAGTCTTCCATGCAGTCCCATGTCTGCTTAGATCCAAAGGTGCATTTTGCGTTACGCTCCATACTATTATCATATTTATCCAAACAGTATTAATATATAAATTATGTAGAATTACACAGAATATTTACTAGTGAAAACAAAAAAAAATTTTGACAAATATTGATTTTACAGATGTTTATTCAGACTTGTTCCCTTATTAAAATTTATAACATATTTCATAAAAGTTAATAAAATTTTTTGGAAGCACTTTATATAAATAGTCACGTTTTTATTGAAACTTTCCACTTTAATTATTGATAGGACAGAATCACTTTTACATAAAAATGTGTTATTTTTGGAACATTTAAGTATTAACTTGAGATGCTTTGTTTATTAGCTATTTGTATATTTATATGTTTTTGGCACACGCTCTATTATATAAATTAATCTCTGTAACAGAAATTATTTTTCTCGAAAAATTATTTTTAATGCTTACCAGACATTACGACTTTTTATTTTTGACGACTTAACAAATTAGGCGAGTGATTGTTTGACGACGAATAAACGAGTTTGCCGTGTCGAATTACAGAGTTTAGTTCACACAAGTAACATCTTACCACTTCGCGGACAGATTAACGCGTGATTAGAGGTAAGAAGCGGTGCAGCCGCTAAAACGACCCTCCGGCGCATGACGAAGGCGGTGTTCTCACACAGGGCGGAGTTTGATCGCCGTTTGGATAAATATGCTTTGTAATTGTGCATGGGGCACGCCTAGCAATTTCTCAGATTAAACATCAATCTCAGTGCAAATTGCAAAAAAACAATGGTAGGAACAGTTAAATTTCTGATTTGTCAAATATACGATGTGTGAAAGTAAAATCGCTACAGAAAATGCAGTGAGAGATCAAAAAGCAATTGTTATTTAATCAAAATATGATGGCAAAGAGACACGAGTGTGTGAAGCAAAAATTATGATTATTACATTTTATGTAATATTTGTTTGAAATAATATAAAATTATTAATGTTTTATTTTTTTCAAAATGTTTTGCTTTGAAAAAATCTATAGTCAAAATTCTGTCTTGATTTTTTGAAATTTTCGGCATGAGTATTGATTGTCTCATAAACATAGCTAGATTTTTTGATAGTTTGCATTATAAGCAGTGCTGAATTTTTGGAATGATAAATCTAGATCATTCGCCAATTTCATAAAATAAATAAATGCTTGATATTGGATTTTAACAATGAAGAATTTTAACGATAAGCTCGCTATGACTTTTAGTTCGTGAGATAATATGATCGCATTATACTACTGTTGGCGCCGTCTGGTACAAACCGCTACAATAGAGGACACAATAGAACTTCCGCGTGGCGCGACAAGGGTACACGACTTGTTTGCATTCGTCCAATATTTCTTTATGATTGTTATGATTAGAAGAGAAAAAAATATGATAAAATACATATATAAATAATAATTAAGCTTCTTTAAATTTAACATTTAGAAATAGCGTTTTTATAATGTTATAATGTTTCAAACATATATATTAATTTTTAATATTAATCAATAATTTTTTCAACTTGATGAAGACTTAAAACATCTTGATAACATAATTATTTTACATTCCAGTTATTATTTAAGTTATTCTTATGTCTTATTATTAACTTTATCATAATTTTTTAAGGCAATTAATTGTTGTTTCTTTTTTGCGTATCTTTTTTATTTAACTTGATTTTAGGAAGAGAGTTTTTTCAATCGAATAATCTAATAATCATTAAAATACCCAAAAAACACAATGTGCAGAATATGGAATATTGCGTGTTTACTGATTATGTCGTATGGATCCCGTATAGATCCCGAACAATGAAGCGGAGTGACGCAACTTTCACGTAAAATTGCAATTCAACCCTGAAATTGTCAGAAATCTAGTTAATTGATTTGTAAAGAAGATACTTTCAAGGTCATAACTGGTCTTTCTGACGTCTAGGCGGTATTGAATGGAGCTCTTTCATTGTAAAATATGTGAATCCATAATATTCTTTGCACCTCCAGCATTTATTTGTTTATATCTTATCACATTTATATGGAAAAATATACTACATATACGTGTCTGTTAGATCTTAAGATAAATTCTACCGCACGAATGAAGTACGCATAGTAGGCTGCCAGTAAATGCTTCGTCATCATACTCATTATCACCCATAGTATTCGCCTGGAACGGCGTGAGGTGGAGGTGAGATAATTCGTCGTGTGACATCGGTCTATCGGGCATCCTGCCGCGCGGATCCCTCATTTGTCAACGCGAAGGATATTAAAGCTATTGAATGCCCCTACGGGATCTTTACAAATCGGTTCTTCATCGACCATAGCCGACAATGTGCATATTTTTGCTGTGTAGCGTCGTGGTATTATCGAAGTTGATCGATTTCCGTAGCGTGGAAACTACCGCGAAATCTTCCTCTTTGAATGCTTTTATGTTTTACAGATATCGGGATGACGTGTTTTCAAAGTGTGTTTTAAACTTTTAACAGGCGAAATAAGATAAAGACAGTTTTAAATCGCGTTGATTTATTAATTTGTAGTAATCGAAAATTTCATCAACAAAATTTTCTTGTCATTCCGAATCAATTTATTTTGTCATAAAATATATTTGCAACAACGTTAATTATTTGATGCACAAGTATCGAAGAATTTAAATATTGTTCAATTAAATTTCTACATAGCATGATTCACACTCCAGTTTATCAAAGAATATAATTAAAAAATATATATACAACCTCCTAGGACATTCCATTTATAGATAAATATATTTCAGACGAAATATTTTGCGCAATAGCGTTGTATATTTTGTATGTAGCCATATGCATTTTACATTTAAAACTAATTTGCAATATAACTTGTGTTACCGACATTCCGTTAATGCGTTTAGATAGCACGGAATCAAACCTAAGTCGCGTGTTATCTAGAAAAATTTGCATAACTAGCTACGAGTTTCTAAAGAGAGATAAATGGATATAGATTGCGTTTTCGCTGAAATTAATTTTTGCTGTCAATATAAAATAAAAATAAAATTAGGATTGAAACAAAAGTTTAGTTTTATTATATTATAATTATACTTTTTACAAGTTTGTAAGTATAAGTTAACTTTAAATATAAAACAATTAAACAAAAACGATTAAGTAATATAATACAGGAAGATACAAGGCGGATGATTTATTTTATGCTCTTTTTTGTTAATTGTAATTATGTATGAGTTGAATGTATTTTATGGATACGTACACTTTAGGTGCCAATCTATAAATACACGTTGTTCCATGCACATATTTTTTAACGTTGATTTCGAAATTGAGTTGAATGAATTGTTTAACTATTTAAATTCAGCGATGCTGTGCCCAAGTTTGGTACGGCTTGAAACTTCATCTTTCTCGTCTGCGACACGTATTCCAGTTCCAATATAATCAATTCGTTCTCGCCTGTACGAAGATACGGAGCTGGAACGTACAGGGTTATTTGCGGGCCGACTAAAGGCCAGTATCTGCCGAGATTGTAGCCATTTACAAAGGCTACTCCTTTTCCCCAGCCAGTAGTATCCAAATACGTGTCTAGCGGTTGTCCGTTAATTGTAAAGTGCCCACGCAGGAATACTGGACCATTGTTCAGAGTTCCGCTCTCTATATTTACAGTCGTCAAGTTCCGCAGAGAGGATATGTCAGAAAATGCATATCCGGTCATAGTCCAATTGGATAGTGAAATTCCGCTAATAGTCACGTTTGATATACCCTGAAAAGCCAGAAGAGCGAAAATATAAAACAAATATTGAAAAACGTTGAACGCCGAAAGTGAACAAATTCGCACGCATTCATAAATGAACAGGATTATTTTTCTTTTTCATTTCTCGTTAGTATAAAAATTATCTCTCTTTCTCTTTTATTATAACTTTGAAAGTATAATTATTATAATTAGAAAAACATTTCTCAGTTCTCTGAAAATTATGTAAGTCGTACATGTATCAATTTTAATGTCTGGTAATACCTTAAAATCGTGGATTTCGTTGCCGAAATTCAAGCGTCCTTGATTCTCCACCAATAAATTCAGGCGACGACCATACGGGCTTTCTAATGGTATAGTAAATATCTTATCTATGCGACTCAGAGTACCGCATAGCCGATTATCCACGTAAACCAGTGCTCTGTCACTCGTTTTCGCTCGCAGTATAGCTGGATCTGAGATAGAAGACGGCAAGTCCGTCTCGTAAAGCACAAATCCTTGATTCACAGAGAGAGCCTCGAAGGTTTTAGGTTGCTCGCCGGTCGCCAGACTCACCACAAATGGAGACTGACTGTCGAGTAACTTCTGTATCGGTTCCAATAATACTGGACCGTAATTGCCCTTTGGTGATGCGACCGGCAGAGTCATGTTCGGCAATGGCAAATACTGCAATTTCAGAGCATGAGCTTTCGCAAAGTATTGATTCTTATCGAGAATAAAAATATTTATTATTTGTTATAAACAATTACATAACAATATACAAGAAGCGAGATATTGTGAAATTTTAATTACTGCTAAGATATGACAGTAAAAAACATACTTGACAGATATCAAATGGAAGATGCGCTGATAGCATATTATCAAAAAAAAATTCTCACCTGACCAATAACATCTCTTATGGCATAATATTTATCTGTTGGATCTCCAGCTTCGGTCAAAGGAGCGTCATAATCATAAGAAGTCAATTGTGGACTGTAAGCACCTGCGCCGCCATTAGCTCCTGTCAATAATGATTATGTTACATAAAATGTACTATTTATATTTGCTGATACAGTCACTGTTAATATTGTTGTTATATAAAAGTGACGAATTTTAATTAATTTAAAATATTACCACAAAGACACATTTTTGAAAATGCACTTCTTTTCGACAAATTATGAAATTATGCATACGAACCGATGCATTAATTTATAATTCGATTAAATGCAGTTTTTCCAATATAAGAAAAAAATACAAGTTATAGAAAAATATAGTAAGAGATATAGTCATGATCTACTACTTACTATTAACTTAAAACTAGAAAAATCCACTAACCAGAAGTGAAACCAAAGTTTGTGCCGCCGTAAAACATATAAATATTAACGGAGGCACCTACATCAAGCATTTCCCTCAATGTCCTCGTGACAGCCTCGGTTTTTATTCGCTGAAACGCTTCCCCCCAATGCGTTAACCATCCTGGGTAAAATTCAGAGTTCACCAACGGGCCCTAATTTTTAGAAATGCTTAAATGCGTCAATTTTTCAAGATTTATAATTTTAACTAAACGGCATCACTTACTCGTGGTTGATAAAGACGCATGGACTGAAAACTGTTGGTGATATTAACAGATGTCCCGAAGTCGACAGTGGCATATGCACCAGGTACGAATCCGCAACGAAGTAAGGATGCGGATGCACCGTCAGTTGTGTACAAGAGAGCTTTGTTGCCAATTTTTTCAATTATAATGTCCTTCAACATATCCGTATAATCCGTATCGCAAGCTTTGTAACTGCCGTATTCGTTCTCTACCTGTTAATGCAAGAGCAATAAAACGATAATGAAGATAAGACATTTCTAATATTGTATTAAAGTAAAAACATTTAAGTACATGTGTGTGCAATTTTAAATTTCTTCAAATCTGATTTTATCTATAATTATTGGTTTTACTACTAATTACTTTATTACTACATAAAATAATTACAATCTCTTGATGTTTTCCAATAGATCGTAATATATTATTGTACTTATTATAAAAATACTGCGATTTTTAAGCGTATATTGGTATTCATCGATATAAGCATAATTCGAAATCAGTGGAGAGCGATAATGTAGATTAAATGTATTATTTCGGAGCACACTGTCAGCCGTAAGAGATAACCTTTGATAATCTCTGACATATCTGATGTTTTCGTAAATAACATAACAATAACAATATTCATTATTTAACAGTGTTACCTGAACCATGATTATCGGTCCTCCATTGCCTCTTAGAAGCGGCTTTATTTTTTCTAATACCTGATTTAAATATGACGTAGCGTGTTTCATGAAAGCTGTGAAAACGGAAAAATGAGTAAGCTTGATTTAATTGGCTGCTGCAATAGTACGTGTCATTTTACTACATTATCAATGCGTTTAGGCAGTAAGAAGCATGAAAAGGAAGAGTCATTATAATCACAGAATAAAAAATATTTATCTCTTATCACGCAAGTATTGGGTCGTTGCGCATGACATGTCGATTTTGTATCAAGTAATTTTCGAAAGAACCAAAGCTATCTAATTAAAATAATTTAGTGATGTTTTTTACATTTTTGAGAATAAGGAAAAATTCTTATTACTTTATTATTTTGGTGAATTGCAAGATAGAAAGTTCTAAAAATCTAAAGTAAAACTTTCAGCTTTATATTCTAGATATTACTCGAAAATTTATATTGAAAATTGTTTCTGATGTCATAAATCATAAAATAATTATTTGCTTACTTCATAACAATCGCTCATAAGGAGAATTTACCAAGAAGAATTATATCTTACCTACATCTTTTGTGCGTAACCGTATATTCGGCTCGTCACGAAGCAACCAATAAGGTAAGCCACCCTAAAAACAGATATACATATATTAAAATTATTTAAAAAATATATATAAAGAGCTAATGAACCAGGTTGGTTGTTCACACTTAAAGCATGTTTTTAATCGATCTGTCGAAATGTCTGTTTGATCGAACAGACATTTCGGCATGAACAACTAGCCTAGTTTATTAATCTCGATATACAATAAATTTAGATTTTTGAATCAATTGAATCATAATTTTCTTATAATTAAGCATTAGCTTTTAGTTAATCGAAATGAGATTACAAAAAAGCACGGAAGTTCATAAAATTACCCTATAATTTATTATAATTAATGAAAAGCTTAATTTATAACTTTAAAATTCAATTTATTACAAATCTCATATTTTCAATTTCTAATTATTCGGTAACTAAGTATTCTGATATTTTTATTGAGAAAAAAGCGACATCAATTTTTGTTATGTGAATATTTTTGTTATAATGAATGAAAAGAAAAGGCGAGTTTTTAATTTTTGCTTTAGATGCAAGAGAACAGCAACTCTAACTTTAGAAAATATGTATTTACCAAATCTCTTTCTGCGCAAATATATGGGCCCGGTCGCAACAATACGAGCAAGTCTTCCTCTTGCGCAATATTTAAAAATTCTACTAGATCTGCGTCGCCGACCCAGTTAAACTGACCTGGTTCCGGTTCGTGAAGACTCCATTCAACATAGCTATGTGTTACGAGAGTAAAAATCAAATTTAATGAATTTTTCAAGAGATTAATAATAATTAATTAATATTGAGATAAAATCTTTTTGTGAGAACGTATTATACAAATTGCGAACTTACGTAGAGATAGCATTAAGTCCTGCAGCGCGCATTTTCCTTAAACGATCTCTCCAATACTGTCGAGGTGCTCGAAAATAATGGAAACTGCCGGAAACATATCGGAAAGGTTTGCCATCCAACAGGAACTGATTATTCTCGTAATCAACACCGAAGCTGTATTGCCATTCCGAATCCTGCAATCGTTTGTAATAAACTTTTGCTGAGATATTTGTAAAAAATTAATTATTAACATATCACTTTTTACAAATATCTCAGGAAACTTCGAGGATATTGTTTACTTTAATTATTAATAATCAATTTTTATATAACTTTTTTATTTATATAATATGCTGTATTGAATTGGAAACATTTGTTCTAGGCTATTTTATTTATTTTGTGGCCGAATTAATTATAACTGTACTATTCAGTTTTTTTTATTTGTACAGAATATGCATAGCGCGTGTACGCGTTTTACGTTACTGACACAGGTCTTATTACATTCTTAGCAAGCCGGTTAGTGAATTTTAACGGAAATATGGAACGGAATCAGCCTATCTGCTTATCAGCTTATCAGCTATAATGAGTATAATCAGCTAATTCTTTTACTTGTCTGTAATTAACATATTCAGAATATGCCACACATGTATATGTGTTTCAAGTTACTTGCACAGGTTTTATTACATCCTTGCAAGCCGGTTAGCAAATTTTAACGGAAATATGCATATAAAGCAGGTTATCGTAAAAGCAGTTGATTCTTGATGTTTTCTTGTCTTCCTGCTCAACGGCTGTACTAGGACAACTGTACTATTATAATAAGACAACTGTGCGAGAACTATTTTTATATTCGTTAATCATAAAATAAATGTACATATTTTTACAATAATATGCAGTGTGGTAGATATTTTGACGAGTATCTTTTTATTATTTATCGCAAAGAAAAATCGCGAACAAATAAACAATATGTATCAATATGTATCTCTAACTACATAGACGAAATTTTTCCTTTATTATGTGAAGCAGATTATTTTATATACAGCTGAAATGCATTTCGTTTAAAATTTTAGTTAAAATTTAATTATGCCTTAAATATGATTTTGTCTGTGTGCCTGTATAAAAAGTGGGTATAAATTCAAGTAACGTTTTAGTATTCGATTAACGATGATTCTATGTGGGATATGGGGTCGAGGACAATCATCAATCGGTAGAATCAATCTACCTACTTTATGACTTGCATTTAAATTTCGTGATTTATGCGAACGTAGACAAGAGCCGTATCATGAGAATCACGTCTTTAGGATCGCTTTATTTTATTAGATTATATTTTATTTTACACTTATATCTTTACTTTCACAGTAACATCTATATTCCTATCCGAGAAAAAATGGTATAATTGGTCAGATATAAATATATATAATTGGTTATGAAAAGATCTCATAACACATATGTAATTTTATATGATTATATAAAATATTACATGTTATCAGATCTTTTCATAACTAATTATATATATTTACATCTGACCATATTATACCATTTTTTCTCAGGTATTGTAACTATAAAACCTATAATAACTATAATATCTATAATCCTAATAACTATAAAAATTATAGTTGGTATAATTTTGTTTCTAATTCAAAAGAGCTTCAAAAGAGCTAACAAATAGATTGAAAAAACGACACTGAATCCCATGATTTATTTTCTTGTAAACAGAATAACAGTTTATTATACAAAAATCCGTTTCTTCTAAAATTGTCGTTTTTTGTTCAACTAAATAATAAAATGTATACATTTCATTTACATACTTCTGTTCAGTTATGTGTTTATTTATAAATATTTTGATATAAAGACTAATATTGCATAAATAGGTGAAAGCATTTTTCATTCAAAATATTTTTTTAAAAAATTAGAAATATAAAAGCCGTGTACAGAATTGCTACTAATTATAGATAAAAAATAATCTACATTTGTATTTCTCAAGAAGAAAGTATTAGAATTGTTTAATTTTGCAAAGATTAACCTATAGATTACTTTAATATTTATTCTAATGATAAGAGAACCAAGAGAGACTCTTTACACAAAAGGAGTGCGTTATTATAACGATCATAATATTTTAAATAGTGTTTACGTACATTGCGCGGTAGATTCACTGTCTCTGCTATAGCACTACTTAATGCCAAGGTTGTCACGAACATTAACGGCCACATTTTCGGACTAATCTGACGTCGTTAGTTCTGTCGCGATCTCGACTGTTACTCACTTTCCACGCTGGCGCGTTACTGACGATACGTAGCGTGTCCAAGACAAGCCACTCATGTTTCAAGTTTATCGGGGGTGATACTCGCCGGTCATACTACTACTATCACTCGTGTATTGGTTGATGTTGTGCAGGTATTAGTTATGTCATTATAATTATCCTCGACTTATCAATCACAATTTCCTGTGAACGATTCAAATGTAGATATCTTCGTGATATTTTACAGTTGTTTCGAAATAAAGTAAACACTTTTTGACTTATAATTTATTTGCACATTTATATTTAATTATTTTATTAAATTTGTTCTATTATTTAGGTTTAATGAGATTGTTACTAAGCTGTAAATATAATAAATTATATCTTACGTTATTAGGATGACGAAATAATTCTGGAAAATATTATTAATATAAATACATTAAAATATTAGAATGATACAAGTTAAAAATACAAATGACAAATTTGTTTCAGAAATCGAAATTTAGATAAGATTTTAATTTAATTTAGATTTAGATTTTAATTTAGAAAAAAATATATTTTGCAAATATTCTTAGTTTATCATCATATTACGTGGAGAGGAAGATTACATATTGTTTACGATGATATCTGGTTCATATTTTTTTTATGATAAATAGAACGAGTTTCTCGAAAACACTAGTTTTCTATTTGCTTCTTGAATATGAGATAAATATTTATGCGTACAAAAAATCTTATTAAAAGTCTATTATTTTAATAAATAAATTAAAATAGCTTTTTATTTACATGTGATACCAGTAGATACGGTCTATATGTTTTTTAACATGTTGATCGAATCGAGATCTACTTCAATGTTTATCTAATCAATGTATTATTATAGAATTTTTTGTAAGATATCAAACAATTAAGTATCCTAGTAAATAAAATTTTATCTTTTGTTTTTCATAACAATAATTTTATTATTTTGATTATTTTTGCTAGACAAATAAAAATTTTATTGACATACACAGCATGATTTGCACCGTGATAAGTTACTTTTTCTTGAAAAGAAAGATTGTTATAATCTGCAGAAAAAAAAGTTATATCTATAACATAATAGAATAAGTTATATTTATAATATAATAGAATGGGCCGAAAAAATCAACTGGGATAATAGAAGAAAAATTTTGCTGTCCAAATTTTAATGAGATACTAATGTACATTATGTACAAATCAATTTTAATTATAGATATTTTGTGCGCAAAATGCAGATTATTTTGCGAATCTTTAATTCTCTGACAATATGATTAAACAATCGTGCTATTGACGTACGCTACATTTTATAATTCAAATTGCGTGAGTTTTGGAATATGTACTTTCTTACTCCAGTACGTTTTGCAACCTGGGAACGCAGCAATATGTTGGAATATCGAATATACTTCCTCAATTCCGTCAAACCGCAAGATTGTTATAATTGTCATAATTGTCGTACTTCCGTAAATTATCAGTTATAATTAATGGCAGAGTTGTTAATGACAGTTGTTAATTGCAGTTATTAACTCTGAGTCGCATGGGGATGTAAAGTGGGGGATGCAAACATAGTCACCCGCAATATTTCACGAACTTTTGCTGCGTTTGCTTTTCTCCGTATTAGTTACTGTCATTTACGCGGAAGAGTATACATATAAATTGAAGTTATACGTTGCGTTTTATTCAAGGCTGTTTAAGATATAAAACTGTATTGTGTACATGGATATATGTGTAAAGTAGGTTCATACAAATCTCAAAATTATTTAGTACGTGTAGCATTATGATAATTGAAAAAATAGCGCAATCTCTTTCTCGAACGCTACAATCGTAAAGTCGAAAAATATCATCAATTATCTATGTGTAAAGTAGACGATTGAGAATTATGAGGTAAAATTTAAAGTCTTTAGCTGTTAAAATAGAGAAGGAATAATTCTCAGCGAAATATAAATATAAAAATTTTGCTATTTTACAAACACCTGTTATACCTTTAGAACATTCAAATGTGCATATCTTATTATTTCCAACGTATTTATGTAAGTATTTCATCCTATTTTATCTCCAAATTTCAATGTATTCTTTTCACTTTTAACAGCTAGGAATTTTAAACATTATTTGCTAAAGTTTGAAGCAATGTAATTATTTATATTTATTTACATTTAAATAATTTCAAATTATTGTAGTTTTAATATTAATATAATCTTTCATTATTAATTCATTATTAATTGTTATTTTAGCATAATGATTCTGCTACGTCTTAAAAGCCTTGCGCAGATTATATGAACTGCATTGTTTAAACTAGACAGCTTTAGAAAAATTGAGGTCACACATCTTATTTGATTGCTACAATAGTATAAATGGAGATACTATCTCTTAATTTCCTATTATACACTATGAGTGGCGTGTGGCGACCGATCGAATGGACATCGATACCCGCCAAGCTCTTGTATGGCATATTTACTTGTTCCACGCTATATTTGTTAAACTTTTCGATGATGACTCAGTTGATGGACATTCTTCTTGTTGTTGACAATATGGATGATTTTGCTACGACTTCCTTAATGTTTCTTACGGCTATCGGTGCATTCTGTAAAGCAGTTACTGCCGTAATTCGCCGCGATGAAATTATTAACTTGATCAAGATATTACAAGACAAACCGTGCAAACCTGATAACGATGATGAGATTAATATACAGATGAAATACGATCGCTTAATCAGGTTAGTAGATACAACTAATCATATAACTATTGATAACTTTGCTAAATAACTGGTTAAATTAATCAATATTACACTGTCAAATAGATATTGTAAATATAATAGAAGAATCTATAAATGAGAAAAGAGAATGACATTAAATTGTATTTTCAGAATAACATCTACAGATTAAAATATTATAAAT